AAGTATCAATTTCTAATTATTTTTTTCCTTTGTGCCAGGAATCAACACATGCTGAGCTTCAGATCTTGAAGGCTGGAAGAGACAACTCAGACACATAGAGCTCTGAAGACAAGCAAAAGGCATTGTTACTGCAAAACCGACTTTTATATTTACTTTTATTTCTGAATATAAAAGAGGTATTCTAGAGAGAAAAAACTCCAGCACATTAAAACACACAAAAAAATTCATTTTTCCTTTTCAATTCAAACAAATTTCACTGCTCAGGTATTATCATCTTCTCAGAATTATTAATAAGTACTTTTAAAGATAGAGTTAGTCACACTTTAATAGCCATTTTTAGTCATTTTTAAGGTTAAAAAATGTAAATATATAGCATGTATATAGCATTTTTTAAGAATATTTGTTAACAACTGATAGCAGCCCAGTTGTAATGCTACTGCAAGGCATTGCATACTTAATACTTACATAGAGAATATTTAGCTATTCAAAATATATTTGAGGACATTCTGCTAAAAAAAAAAAACAGAAGAATATCAATATTTTAGGTGTAAAGTAGGACTCACAAGGTTAGACTGTGCTTCACAGATCTGCCACAGCTATGATTTATATGTCATACCCCATTCTAGCTGCATTTGCTACATCTTGCTACAGATGCAAGAACAAGGCATGACCTATTGCTGCTCTTTCTTTGCTCAGAGTACAGATGACTGTGGAAATGATAACAGAGGGAGGACGGGGACTAGAATTCATAGAAGAATAAAGTGTCTGAACAAAAATCAAAAGATAAAACTTTGCTTTCTCAGTTGTATGTCCTTGTGAGAGTGCCCCAAGCAGCACGTGGGAAACACTTTTGGAAAAAGAAGTTTTTAACTTCTATTTGAAGTGATTAGAGCCCAATCAATAATAGCAAAGCCTTATACATTCAGAGAAAGAGAGTCAAGTTTTTATGGCTCCACAACACTAACAGTTCAGGGAAGAAGGACTTCAACCTTCAAATAACAAAGTTCATCCAATAACTAAGCACCATATCATTTCTTCGTGATATGAGTGTGTCAGGAGGAATATGGGTTAGCGTATAGCCTGATTAAATGTGGGTTTCTGAAATAGGCTTGGGGGAAAAAAAATTGAGTATGTTCATTAAGATCACCTCACTATGAAACGTAGTAAAGACAATAGAATACCAGAATGGAGAAAAAGGACCGTGATGCAAAAGGTCTCCAGCCTTTCACTTTGCCACCAACAGGCGCTGTTGCTGCTGCAGGAATTCCACTTTCAAAGTGGATGGCAAAGAAAGACTCCAACACATTAGAACTGCAATATTAGCCAATGAAGAGGGGTTGGGGAGGAGAGGGTTGTGGAAATAGAAGTCTCTCAGCTCTATCATAAATTTAACTGACCTGCTGCAGTCTGCTGCAGGACTAAAACACTAATAACTGCCAAGTTAATAATAAATAACTTTTTACCTGGAGGGAACACGGCCAAATACATTTGGCTGTCACAATGGCAAATGTAATTGTTCAAATCATGCACAAAAAAAACTTTTCCACTCTGACATAAGCTTTCTTTGTAGATTCCTTCATCTTCATACAAATGACTAAATGTGACTTCTCTATAGTAAACATCAATCCCAAATCACACAATTAAATATAAGGAGAAAAGACTAAAGCATCAAATAGATCTCTCCTACAGAGACAAGAAATCTGATTTAAAAGAATTACTGAACATTGCCTCTAAAGCCAACTGAAACAGCTGTGGAAATCCAAAGGAGATGCAAAATTCAGGAGATGCTGGCTGAAACGTTGCTCTGACCACAAAAAGTGCATTGATAGGAATGCATGTATTACTTAACCTGAGCTCTGACTAAAAAAACCATCCCTTGAGATCTCTGACCAGTCACAGACTCAAGAACTCTTCCATATTCTTGTCTGCAATGAATCCATTGTTGGGTAACCCCTACAAGTGGCCAAACAAGTATATCAAGTTAGTCTTTCAATTTGGCATTCCTGGAGAATTTCTGCTAAGCCTGTTAAGTATGTTTTAAATAACTGGTAACATTCACTAATGCAGTAACATAATGATGTACTTACCAGTCCCAAATCTTGCTTGCTACCATTCATAATTACAGTCTTTACTTATGCAGTTTAAGACTGCCATACTGCACAGAGATTCCACTAAGAGAAGATTGTAAGGAAACACATTTTACATTTTTTAAAGCACCACAGCGTTAAATTAAAGCAAAATTCCCTGTAAGGCTCAACCACCATGCATTCACACATTAGGAATATACAGGTTACTAATAAAATATTCATAATTTGTAACCAACTGAGTAAAAGAAGGTTTTATGCAAGTATCAAATTCTGCATTTTTTCATCAGGAAAAAAAAATACCGAGGTGTTCTGGAGATTAAATTCGTTACCTTTTGACTTTGCTAGAATGCAAACCATTCTGAAGAAAGAGTTAATAAGCTAAGGACCAAGCTTGCAGGGGACACCAGATTTCCAACATCTCATGCTGAAGGGCTCAACGGAAACAAATGAGCAAAGTAGCCCTAATTTGGAACCCCTCCAGGAGTAAGTTCTGTCTTACCATCCTGCAGTCTCTATTGTTTTCATAAATTCTATCAACTGAGTTGGTGTTAAAACCTTTTTTGAGAAAAGAAAGATGTACAAGTAGGAGCATGTTTATCTGTTCCCAAACTCTTAGTAAGATTTCCATTTTTCTGGCTAGCCATCCTGTGCCTTAATGATGCAGATGGGATGTAAGCACTGCCAAGACCACTGTAAATATTCGCAGTACTGTTGAGAGGCTAAAGGGTAACATTATATTGATAATGGTTTCTGAGATTTGTTATCAGCAGAAAATCTTTTGTCTGCCAGATGTACTCCTATGTGAAAATATGCCCTTTTCAAGTTGAGAGCTGAAAATGACTCCCTCCAAGCAAGTCAGGAATAATTTAGAACAAACTGATTGTTCTGAATCAAACATGTGCAGGTGTTCAGTCAATCAATGCTCTGAAACAGACCAACTTGGGAATAACGATGCAATTGCAATAAAAATGCTTCTCCCTGTGCTTTGATGGTACACTTTTAAACAAAATACTGATTCCACTTCCTTTGTGAGAGAAATCTCCTGAGAGAGCTCTCAAAATGAAGAGCTGGTCTGTGGTGTGTATGCAACTGCATTACAAAATTGGAAAGCACTGCCAAACACTGGTTCCTTCACCCTTTTTTTTATTGCATTGTTAGCCTACAAAAGCCTCCTCAGGCATCCTCCATGCAAAACCAGAGTAAGATGCAGTTCTCTTACTTCATAAGGAATTATTAGTGCAGTAATTCCAAAGGATACTCTAATTCTTCACCAAAATGGATGTCCAACAGCTGACAGGCAGTATATTGGATGTTCTCATCTCTACAACGCCTCTATAATTACTTATAAAAATGTAAATTGGGAAAAGTTGAAACATATGTATTTAGGAAATAAATTAATCAGGAAGAACATGTATCCTAGTAGTCCTATGATGCAATTCTTATGATCTTTTTTCACTGAAAAAGCTGTTCCTTTGAATCATGACACACACCATCTCAAAACAAGGAATGCTGAAGTCATGAGGCTACCCTGTGTCACAACAGTGCCTCAAGCTGTGAGACACACTGCCTCAATTCAGCACTGCCTGGATTTAAGATCTTTCTAAAAACTTGCTAAGATTCAGAATAATAATAATTCACCTGTACATTTGACGAGTTAATAAAAGTTAAAATGTATTTTGCAATAAAGGATGATAAGAATTTCCAGAAATTTGCTTTTCTTTCAAAAAGATGCATTTGCAACCCCTAGTCATCTTTTCAACACTGCTGTAAATGGCTGCCTTATTACTTTGTTCACCACCAACTTAAACAGAGCAAATTACTATCCCTATAGTTGCAGAGGTGTCCTGATTTTCTCTCGGACAATAGCATCTCATGTCTGTACAACCAGGGGTCACGTTTGTTTGTTCCCTGCAAGCTCAAGTATTGAAAAAGAGATGTATTTTGAAACACCAAGTTTATCATTTAGATCTAGATTTATTATTTGTAACAGAATAGTAAATTAGCTTTTTAAAAATCTTGTTGCAAAATGTTACTCGGAAAGGCTATCAAAATGTTACCTATCAAATGTTTCTTTATTTTATCTAACAAAGCATTATAAAAAGGATTTCACATATTTATTCATGGCAGCTACATCTAGGGCTTCATGTCAGAAGATCCCAACTACATCAAGCTGTGCACTGTGTGTGCATTGCCTTGGCTTCTTCCAAAGGGCTATAGGTACCAAGCCATTACATAAGCAGAAAAGCTCCTGAGTAAATTAAATATTATCAGTCTTTCTCAAAATGCAGCAGAGCATAAAATGTAACTTGTGATATTCTCCTCTGTCCACCTTCCAGGTTCCAGTCACATTATGATAGTGTAAAGACTTTTCTGCAGCCAAGGTAAGGGAGAACACTTAACATGGTGGAACTCTATAAAAAGAGGAAGATGCCATCTTAGCTTCCTCTTATTTTTAAAAACTGACTAAAAAACTGGCGCTGAATTCCACTAATATATTCAGATATCATTCCTGATTTTACTTGTTTTGTAGAGCAAGAAGTGCAATTAAGCTCTCTACTTGCTTTCTTTGCTGCAGCTGTTCTAAACTGCAGTCTTTCTACAGACTGAATACAATTCCTGTGTGTTACTATCAGTTGTAAATGAAGGTATTCCTCTTCTTAATTCATCCCATCATTGTAAATTGAGCTGCGACAAATAGGGCACGATCATCTACGAGAGGGATGAAAGACAGAACAAAATCCAATCCTCGTTCAAGAGTGCCATCCAGTGTCTAAAATACGTCAACATACCTTATGTGAATAATGTGAACAGATGGAGTCAAGCACAGGCTCATCCTCCAATAAATAGTTTTTCTTTATTTTTAGAGATCTTACATTTGAAAATGTAGAATGACAAAGCTTTTCATCCATATCAGGCTCATCTTGCTGCAGATTACTGCAGCTTACCTGAAGATCACAACAACTCATATGATGTTTTGTAAATGACAAGTTTATTTAACACATTATGTACTGGGAAATCTGTATCATTATAAACCTCACAGTGCATATGCATGAAAACGTACACCTGCAGAAGTCTGACTACTTCAGAGAAAAGAAAGTGATGTGTATGGAACTGAACTAGTGGTGTCCAGGACACATGTGGGGTACTAAGGAAATACACTGCATTTAACATTGCCATAATGAAGTATAAATAGAGCTGAATTATCCCAATTATTCCTAGGAAGCTGTATGCATGGGGAATGGTTTGCGACAAGGAGAGGAGAACTGGGCTGGTTGACTAACAGCTCCTGATGCTGCACTGTTTTATACAATGTTCCCTGGCACTACTCATAAGCATGCATATTGCTGCACTGGGGTTTTCATGAGAGCAGTCCTATTGTTTTCCCATTGTAATTCTGAACACCAACATTAGGACTACTCAGGGGATAATATTTCATGGCTTTGTTTTTTAAAGAAACTGCACTATTTCAATGGATAGTTTACACAGGCATCTTGAAAAGAGTACAATGACAGAATCAGAAACCAATACAAAGAATCAGTCCATGCAGTATCCCAGCCTCTCAAGGTTCAAGATCTGCAGTCATATAACAACCACTAATTTAAAGGAGACAACTTTAAAAATTCAAGCAAGTAAAAACATATATTCTTTACTTTAGACTATCATGAATATATTTTTCATAGTGTGATTATTTGAGGGAAGAGGGTCGTTTGGATTTCATCTTATATTTGCCCTTATTTATCATTTTCACAGAACAGTTTTTCTAGGAAACCATAACACAAATCTTATTATTGAACCCTATGAAAATTCAGGTGAATAATGAAACAGCAAATAGAGATGTAATTGATTCGATGAAAAGCTACTGTTCTCTTTATGTATAATCTTTGGAAGGTTTTCCAATGTGGATTTTTGTGTTAAATACTGAGCCAAAGAAAAATGCATTATAAAAAAACTAAGATCAACATTTTTGTAAATAAAATTATGCTCAGGAAGATAAAAGCTGTCAAGAATCAAAGCTGATTAAAGCAACGTAACCAAAGAAATATATGATTGTTATTTATGAAAATAATGCATTCTGCAACTGCAAATTTTTAAAAGGAAAGCATGAAAAGCACATTCCCTTCCCTAAGATGACCTTTCACTTTAACTAGAGATAACCCCACTTGGAATACTTGTTTGAAGTGAATTCAGAATCAGATTGCCAACATATAAGAGCATAAGAATTTTTTTTTAATAGAATAGGATTTTAAACAGAATCAGTGACACACCACTAAGAAGAACCTGTCCGCAACTACCAAGAACAGCAGCAGAAAACTAAGCAAGCAGTTTTCTGTAGGTAAATTAATAGTTATTTTTCTTCTTCTCATTGTATCAGTGGAACTTCGACTGTGTTCAAAATCTTCAAATATCATGTCTAGAATGAAATACAAATGATTTAAAGAAATAATAACTGAACATCAATAGTAACTGAACTTTCTTCTGATTCATATCACGAAGCACTTTCCCAAAGTTTAGATTAATTGATTCAAATCTGATCCCCATCACTGCAACCCACTCAACTAATCCCATTGACTTCACTGGGATGACTCATGGAAAAAACAGTATTTGGATCTAAGTACTTTCAAACATATCCGTATTTTGGCAGACACACCTTTCAGAGTACAGAGGGCTTTCTTCATCAATGTTTTAATTAAATTTTTATGCTGAAATAGGACATATTTATGCTCACTGTCAAATTTCATTGACAATGACTTATTTGACAAAAAATATATTGAGATTTCTCTAATCACATCAGACTATCAGGCTCATACTCTCAACATAACATCAAACTTCTGTCATGATTATCTCACAAGGGAACGAATACTCTTACAAAACTGGGATAAATGGTGACCAGATGAACTCCGGTTCCAGTAGATAAAAGGCTGTGTGTTCCTTCTGAAGAAAGGAGTCACACTGTTTCAACAAGAAATTTACATCTGTTTACTTAATTAGAAATCTTGTTTCATTAAATGGTTTGATCTAACACACCATGTTGCCTTTATGAAAATTATTTCAGGGAAAATTTCAGGGAGAGTTTATACTATTCTAGTGCCTAAAGTACTCTTTCACCCTTATTACTGACAGAGCCCATGAAAATATAAAGACAAAAGTCACCTTATCATATATAGTTTAAGATGTATGCAAGGAAAAATTTTAGCAAATAAAAAACAGTATTTCCTTCTTAGGAGGTGGGTGTTGTTTTGGTTTGGTTTCGTTGGTGGTGGTTTAGTTAACACAAAACAGAGTTTTGCCTTTAAGAGTACTAGATCTTCCCACTCAAGAGAAAGATTGTTGTGCAATGAAAAGTTTGGAGGAGACCTGGGCAATTTATTGGCTTACCTTTTGCTTCATTGCCCTAATCTGTAAAAGAGGCATAGACCACTATGAAAGGCATTGAGAAAACGTATTAAAAATAAACAGAGACATGCAAATATTACAGCAATGCAGACCAGTAGACGTACAAATATATTCATTATATTTTGAGTGCTGAAGTTCTGGAAAATATGTTCATACTCTTCTTGATTTTGTGTTTCATGATTTTTCTCTCTTTCTAGAACAATTTCTTTAATTACTTCTCAAATATAACATTCATTTCAAACTGATACTTTTCTCATATCCTAGATTCCAAACTAGCGGTGATGTTGTTGTGTCCTAATTGAAAAAAAACAATTTATAAGTAAAAAGCTTTCTGTCCTCCAAGTGGACTTTTAAAAACTATTGCAACCAAGCACCCCAGCAAGAACACTATGGGAATAACAAAACCTGAACGGACTACCTTAAAAGTAGTATTTGTTCTCTAGAGCATAATCAGTTTCTGTCTACTTTTTCTTGCCTGGTGTGACTGCAAAGTCCTTCTGTATACCTAAAAAGTCACCTTAAAAAACACATATTGCTATTGATATTTTGATAGAAAATGACTGTCTTTGTAACTACTAATTAGATTAATATTTTGAGCTGAGCCAGGAGAAATAAAAGGAAAGAGGCACTAATGAACCTAAGACACTTAGTCTAGAATGGTTGTTAATCTGTGTAACTAACTACAGGGAAGAAATGTTTGGTGTCGATAAAGCATTTCCTTAGTAAATTACTACTGGCTCCAGTGTAAGACATTTACAGTAAACACCAAAAGTCTGCAAGGCATCTGTTCTACTCACAGTGGAAGAAAGAACTTTACTCCATTAATAACTTTAAAAACATGCAATAAGTAATTCATGATGGCAGTTCAAATCCTATCATCAACCATCGTTATTTGACCAAGCTGAGTTCAAAGATAGAGCAAGTTTTAAAAAACCCCTGAAAGTTTAAAAGTGCACTTTAAATTATAATAAAGCTGTGTTCTTCTTTCTAAGTGTGGAAAGAAAAGACCATAGCTTTAAACCACGTACAACAACGTTATTTTAAGAATACATGCAAGATAAGAGTTAAAACGTATATATAAAATCCTGTATGATCTCAGATTCCATTTTAGTGAATTTGTATGTTATATAGAGAAGGCATGTGTAATCTATGCGTATGTATATATAATAAAATACTTGCTGGAATTTTAACATTTGACTTTACTAGAGATTTAGTGGGACTTTGCCTAAGGCAAGTTTTTAATAGCAATAATAAAAAAATACTTAATGGTACTTAAGGTAAATAATGTGTGGTCACTATGTTTAAAAAAAAGTAATACCGAACATCTGTGCTAGATTTCCACATGATAAAATCACTGGATTACCTACAGTTCTCCCAAAATTATAGAGAAAAAAATGTTTATTTAAAATCCTAGAAAATACATTTGATAATCAATGTAAGTATTAAAAGGCAGGCATCTTTAATGACAGAAATGTATATTTAGTGATATACAGGATACTTATTTCTGAGCATAAGGACACAATGGTACGACGTCGTGGCTTCAAGACAGATTGCCTTTTCACCTGTTAACATACAAATGAAGACTGCCAGGCCCAAGAACGTCCCTCTACTTACATATGTGTATTTGAAAAGGCTACTTTGTTACCTGAAGTACACAATTTCCTTACCAAGCACACACTATATCATTTTCTCTCAGAAAATAACAATGAAATCCAGCTATCTTAAGAAAAGGCTAGTAAAAATACTTCCAGGCATTCAATGAGCTAAATTTCTTAGACAAAAGATTCAGTCTAGCTCAATGAAGGGAAACTGAGTACACAGATGCTCTCAGAAACCATGGAGAGGAGCTCCATATTTTCTCCTTAGTAGGCTGTATATTCAAAACTGAAGCTGAAACACGTGCTTAAACTTCATGCTATTTAATCAGATTATTTTTTCTTCCTTTGTGATAAGATACTAATGAAAGTTTTGCTATAACTACTGCAAGTCTGGGAATCTAGCTATTCTTGTGAAAGCTTCTTGCCTGTATTACAAATTCCTTAATACACAGAAAGGAATTTAATTGCATTTTTTGCATAGCTTTTTCCCCAATATGTTTGTTTTAATGAACCTCACCAACACAGACATTCCTTGAAATTCCTGTAAGAGAAGAGCAGGATTCCAACTTCAGCTGAAGTTTTCTCCAGTGTAATAAGGCTCAAATTTGCCATTCCTAGAACTCTCAAAGAGAACTTGAGTAAACACATAATCAGAAGCTTGCCTTTGTGAAACAAAAGTTTGAAGATGCAGTAGACTATATGCTGCAGAAAGGTATTAGTCTTTGAGGGGCAAGTGGCTAACATCCCCAAACCACCCCAAATCTGATAAGAATATGAAAACAAAGAAAAATGGACTAGTTTATATTCCAGAGGCATGTTCCTATGCCTCTGCTACATTAGCTATTTCTATCTTCTCTGCAGTTTCTCCAAGAAATATAATCAACAGTTTGGAGAAATTCCACGTCTTGTGTGGCAACTACTTTAACTTCTACAACTATTCATGGGAAAGAAAAAGAAACAAAGTATTTTTTTTACTCCTTTTCCACATGATTCTTGGATATCTGCATGTTAATTTGAATCAAGACAGTAGAATATTGGTTTCTGGTAACGTGCATACTTCACGTGCAGTAATAATAGCAACTTGCAAGAACAATAATAGCAAAGCTAATTAAAAAAATTAATTTCCAGGATTTGATCAAACATTACATTACACAGGACAATATATTAGTTTTTCAGGAATATACTCAATATGAGTTCAATACTGCAACCTGTAAAAATACAGAAATCAGAATATTTTAGTTGAAATTCTGTAACAACAATTTTTTTGTTAAAGACAGATAAAAATGAACAAAACGTGAGTGAATACCAAATCATTCCTGAAAGGGATTGAAAAAGCTTCCAAGTTTTGGTTTACTGTCACAACATTCTCAGGGGAGTTGGGGAAAAGATGGTCATTTACAGTTAGGTTGAAAACCTGCAACCTCATGTTCAAAAATGGAATCCACTAAGGAGATCACTGCAAAAGATTCAGCACAGTAATTCCTAATTTATCAGGCTGGAAAACTGCACTTTGTAGGATAAAGACTGCATGCAGTAACAGTAATTCCAGTAAGCACAGCAGAAAACAGACTCACTGCACTACACAAAGATCAAAAGTGGAATAGTGTTTTTTAACAAATGAACAAAACTAAATACTGAATTTCTAATATGCCATCAAACTGTGTAGACAACTTCCAGTCACAAGACAGCAATAGGCAAATAAATCAAAACCCATAAGTACAGCATGCCTCAGGAGCAGAGCTAGAGAGGGAATTTCACACAAAGCTTTGGATTCTTAAAGCATGAAGAAAATTCTTAGCCAAAATCCCCAAATCAATAGATAGTTCCCAAGCTGACAGAGATTCTTACCAGCAAACAGTAAATTTTAAAAACTTTGACAAGTCTCCAAGGCATATCATAAGCATGCCAATAAGCAGAAACTCCAGCAAACCCCTCTGTACACTTGCTCTAGAGGAAAGATAATTATTTTATCCTAAATATAAATTTAGAGATAAACAATTTATTTCCTGGCTCCTGAGAGCAACCCAGGGGGAACTATGAAATATCTTGTCTACTTTCCATGCTCTATTTAGTCCTATTTCTCCAACTGTTCTTGGAAGGCCATTCCAAAGCTTGACTACTATGCAAACTAGAAACCTTCTTCAAATTTCTGCTTTATTCATGTCCAGGATGTGTGTGAATTAGTAATCACAAATGTAAGTGATAATGATGCTATAGGTGACAGAACAAAAAGCAGTTAACGTACATCTGATCATCCATGTTTGAAACACCGTATTTCTCTGAAACCAGATTTAATCCAGAAATCCATCCAATAGTTTAAGCACTTCTTCCACAATCCTTCTTATAATAAATACAGTATCATTAATTCCTTATGCAAGTCCTTTCAGAATCCACTGACTTTCAGACTCCATTAAGTGGCGGCATCACTTTTTAATGAATGTTCTGCCTGAGAAAAGATTCAGGAGGATCCACATCTTCACTAAGAAAACATTAAATGTATGATTGTGCCTGGCAAATTCTCCAGTGTTTCCAAGCTTGAGAAGGGCTCCAGATACAACTGAGGGCTCCATACATATTTCAGATTAAAAGGAAGAAAAAGAAATATAAAATAAATCTACCACTGACTTTTAAGAATTACTTTTTACTAACAAAGTAGCTGTAACCTCAAACAGTTCATCCATGGGAAAAAAAATTCTGTAGATGTAAATAGCTACTCTTTATCCAAGAACCAATAATAGTTTTCTGTGTTCTTGTACTAATTTTATTCATGTTTTGACTTATCAGGCAAATTAGTGGGTTGTTTTTGTTTTGTTTTTTAACCAGACCAGTGGTTCAATCAGACTACGCTACTCCTGAATTTCTAAGGAAATAGAGCTGGACACCCTGATTCTCCTCACTGTGGGTAGTTTGTACTCTACCTCTGTAGTTGTCACCTTTCTCAGTAGGAAGCAATAAGGTCTCTTTCTGAGGAAGACACACTGTTTCATTTCCCTGTCACCGGCTTCAGAGGCTGCTAGGATGAAGAAGGGCAAATGGACTTGACAACCAGGCAGATTTTCTTTCAATTGTACTTCTCCCAAATCTAGTTTCAAAATTCATCAGCAAGTAACGTGGGCCTGAGGCCAAATCTCTCAAAGCACAGCCCAGCCATCACCCCAGTGTGTTAATGTGGTGGTATTATGTTGCATACCACACAAGAAAATAAATTAGAAGTCTGACTACAGAATGCAAAATGTTCAAAAACACTTTTCAAGCGTGTAAACACAAGGGGTATAAAAACAAAATGTAGTATGTACTCATTACTAGTTATTTTGTAGTAATAAAAAGTGCTGTCTCTTCAATAGTTCTCATCACCTTGATTTGCCAAATATTGATTTATCAAAATACAAAAAAATCTAGAATGTATGCAAAGCAACAATGTCAAAGACAATAGGTCCCAAATGGCACAATTACTTGTCTTCCATAATTTCTTAATCCACTTGTTTATTTATTTTGGATTTAAAATAGATGCATCTTCTTCTATGAAACAATGAAAGCAGAAAAAGGAAGCACTCAAATACTTATTTCCAGACCTGCAGCAAATATGTTAGCAATATCTTTTAAAGAAATAAATAATGAGTTTTTCTTACCTCTCTAAGATGTATGTTTTCCTTCTCCTTCTGGTCTAATATCACTTCTAAATGATTAACCTGAGATTCAGCTTCTGCCATCCTTCGAGTTCTCTCATTGTCATCTTCCATTCCTTTAGAGGGCAAACCTTTACTTTGCAACATTTCCAGAAGCTTTTTTATTGATTCATCTCTAGCATTTAGTGTTTGTTTTTGTGTTTCAATCCTTAGCTCCATTTCTTCTAGAGTTTTTCTTAACAGGAAAAGCTCTTTAGCTTGCCTATCATGTTCTGCTTGAAGTCTTCGAAAATTCTCTTCTGTTAGCTCAATAGTAAAATGCTCAGCACCTCGGTTTCCACTTTCTTGCTGGAGAAGATGATTAAGGTCTCTCTGGGTTCTAAGCTCATCTTGAAGAGCCTGGATTGTCATTTGCAGATGCTACAACAACAACAAAAAAAAAGAATTTAGGATCTGACTGTAGAATTAGACTTCAATTAAACTTCTGTTGTATGCTTTTATAAAAATTTATTAGCATTAACAATGAAAGTATACTAAATGACCTTAAAAAAAAATGGCAAATGCATGTGACAATGTTTATAATGATATCTTACAAGTGCTTCTAGAAAAAATTAATGACAACACACACAGTGTCAGCTACAGATAAAATGAAGAGCAAAGAAAAACAACAAACCCAAACACAAGGCAGTGACACATCCATTTGTACAGTCAATGTGTCTACAAAGTTGAAAGACTCAGTATTCCTTGTTTTCTAAATTACTTCATAGACTACAGGTGGTTCTCCTCTGCACGGTGCTCAGCAGATGAGTCACGAAGTCAATCAAAGCACTCGCTGTAACTGAAGGGATCTTGGTGGGGAGCAAGGGGGGCACTTGATTGGTTTTGTTCTTTTCTTTTGGCAACTAAAGCTATGAATATGTTTTAGTAAACAGGATTACTGTATCTCTAATGAGCAAACAAAAAACACAGTAAGCAATATTGAATTCTGAAAAAAAAAAAATGACTGCAAATAGTAGACAAACCTTTGTTCTCCTGGCATCCAAAAACTGAACAGCATGGTAAATGAAAAATGAAGCAAAATCAACATAAATAAAGGTCAGATGCAAGCAAAGGAGATTCAACAGAAAGAACTGAATTCAACAAAAAATATCTTCAACAGAAAAAAATAATTTTATTGAGATATACAAAACAGCACCAACAACTTCACAATACTCAAAAATACAAACCGAAGCTAAAGACAGACTTCACTCAATAGATGTGACAAGGAAAAAAACGTACAAAATAATTAATCTCACAATGAATAATAATAATATTCCTATTACATCTCACTGTGCTTTCACACTTATCTTTCACACAATATCTTGTCCTAAAATTAGTTTTAGATTTGAGGACAGTGGTCTCTATTCAAGAGAGAAATCTCTCACTCCATATTCAACACAATGCAAAATTAAAATGAACAAAATCATTTTAAAGGTGAAGCATAGATAATTATTCTAATTTACTATAATAGCCTTAACAAGTATTCTGCAACTCCACACTTCAATGAAACCATAATTCATTAACACCTGAAGTCAGTATCAGATGTTTCTTCAATTACTTGATAACATCTTCATATTTAGAAGGATTATATCTAGAGCTGTCAGTATGCAATAAACTGAATTTAAACAGAAAAAAAAACTTTCTGAAGTCACATCTCTTACCAGTCACTTCAAAAGGATAAAAAGTTTTGGCTGCACTGGAATTCTGTAGTCTGAATTTGTTCTACCATTAAATGGCAACGTTTTTATAAGTGTTCTTAATGTTTGTATCTCATTAGGTTTCATTACGCACATTCAGTTGAGAACATGCAAATCAAATGTAGGCTACTCATTTACAGCCCTGCTTCTACTTAATGGTAATTCTCAACATTTCTTAAAATCTCAGCATGTTTAAAGTTATATATATAAGTATAAAGGTTCCCAGTGAACTTAATTTCAAAGTTTTTCTAGACATAGCAATTTTCTACTTTAAACCCATTACTGTACCATTTATGATCCTGAGAATGACAGCTTTAGCATCGAAATTCAGTGCATAAATACAAACGTTCAAAAAAATAGAGAAATAACGTTCAATAATGTTTATGAATGAATTAACAAAGGCATGGGAAGACAGAGACAAATGCTGCAAAGTAAAAGCCAAACTCCTTTCTTCCCAAATGCTTTTTTACTAAACTGACACAATATTTATAGATATCTCCACCAGTTAATACAGCAGTTACACAATGTTTCCAAGCTATACAAGACTCTGCTTTAGAGAATATAGACATTCTAATTCCTTTGAAGCTTTGCAAAACTGGAAACTGGAGAGAACCAAAAATTTTCAGATTAGTAATTATGGGGGGAAAAAAGTTCCATTAATTTAAATTATTCATAAATTCAAAAGTTCCAAAAGAAGAAAAAATTCACTTGGCTTTTTCAAATTAAATGTTTTTATTTTAAAACATTTCCACGCTATTTTTAATTTTATTTTTTAATTGAGATAGATTTTTTTAATTGAATTTTTTCCTCTTAATGAAAAATAAAATAATTCAATCACCATTTAAAAAGAAATTTCTCTTTTACTTAATTTTGAGTTCAGTCTCCACATCAGCTGGATTTTCAGTCCCAAGACATTTATTTGAAGAATGAAACTCGTACCTCTGCAAAAGAATGACTGCCTGAAGTAACCGCCTATAAAAATCTGAGGAGAAAGCCAATACTTTGCATAAGCATAGTACAGTAAACTCTCTGCACTGCACAATTATCTCTCTACTATGCAACAGAAATATTCAGTAACTACTCACATAGTCTATAAATAGTCAAAAGAGAAGACTTTTTTCATCCAATCTGTATGATTTAAAATAGCTTTTTCTACCATTACATTAGACAATACTTACTCCTTGATGCTAAAAACTACTTATAAGTAAACGCTTTCCCAAAGTCAAGCAATCTCTGTACACCATGTCTAGAAGATTATAGCTAAATTAAAGGAAACCCATTTGTAAAATATTTCAAATTTTTTAAAGCAGAAATAAAAGGAACTTAAAATACACATTGCTAACACACAACTCTTCTAAACATAAATTGTAAAAGCCAAAACTCTTACAAATTATTAGAAATCAGAACTCAAAGTAGCAAATCTGGCAAGATAAACCAGTAATAACTTTCCTTTCTGTCCCACAGCAACCTATGCACAGCGCTCTCGCGTCCCGCCCATAAGCACGTTTGCTGCTGAGCACAGCAGTAGTTGTGGCTGCTTCTCTGTGACTATGTTAAGCCCAAGAGCCTCAACCGCAGCAGGCTGCTGCCACCCTGACACAATCCATCTTTTGAGTCCTTCAAGACTCAGAATTCTTTGAACACGATGGCCCAGATTTAGATTCGTGCTGGCACAGATTTTTGTATCTGCAGCTAGCTAAGAAAAGGAAGGAACACATGTTGCGAAGGTGGAAAGATACTGAATAATTAATTGTAGCAGGGGAGGAATGTGGGAGTGCTGTGAATATCTGTCACGTTGCTTTCAGTACGTAGGCAGGACTTTGTAGGATTTGAAAAGACACACAAGATCTATCACGCTTTTCATAATTTCTATTAAAAACAGGCCAGCTGACAAAGACTTACAGAAAGATTTCATGCTTGTAGGGAACATATAAAAAGTTCTCACAGAACTTTTGCAATTTTCCCCTACAGCCCAACTCCGAGTGGCAATCCATGGAACTGCACTGGAGGTTCCATTAACCTTTCTCTGGATTAGGCACAGCACAGGTTTCTACAATTTGCCCCCGAAATTTGAAACAGAACTATGAAGAAGAATTAGCAGTCCCTGCTTGGTTGACTGGCGTCCAACTCCTGTTCTACATGTGGACATTAATCCATGCAAAGAGGCTATTCACAGAAAAATCACCTGCAGAGAAATTTCCTGCCATAGCACACATGGATCAGAGCACAACAGCATTTCAGAGCATCTCAAGGCCTTAGATATGGTAAACATTAGTGGAAAAGGATATTGGAAGGAGATTGGCCGATTTAACATAATTATCTACAGGCCTACAGAACTTCTATTTTACGTCACTGCCTTCGCACCAAAAGTGAAGAATATTTGAAAATAGTCAAGCAAATAAAACCAAATAATAAAAAACAACAACAACAACAACACACACAAACTAACTTGAAAGGAAGCAACAAATGCTGTGTAAGGTGAAGAAAGAAAATAATCATAGCAGGGGTTGTCTTGACTGGGAAAATCAGCCTGAAGGATTCGGTGGCAGAAACTAACTGGTCATTGGTTATTATCAAGTGATAGACTTAGGAAGTGTGTCATATGTGATTTAGTACACATTTCCTGTAATATAATGATAATTTATCCAGTTTATTCCACAGACAAAAATCACTCAAATTTGGAAATGAGCGGTAAGGAATTCTGAATGCGTTTCTCCTCTAAATGGTTCAGTACAGCACTACAGCTAAAGGGGGCAATGTCAAGATCACCCAGCGTAGGCAAAACAACTATTTCTGTAGCCATTCAAGATGATTCACTGCTTTGGTGCTTCGCCTAAACAGAGTGATAGGTAGCAGTGTTTTTCCACTACTTCAAGCCACTGTCTTTTGGTTTCTGACTCTCACTGTTCCATTTTCAGTTACTGATTCTTCTGCTTCTTTCCCATTCTGGTTGAAAATAAAGTGTATTAGGCTTTTTCTTACATGACCGTTGCTGTAAAGACAGGTAAAATGAAGAAATGACTACTGTCACAACTGTCTCTGTCCTCTCAGTGTCACAGCATCGATGTGGCTGTGACAAACAGCCTTCTAAAGTGTAAAACAACTCAGACCAGAACACCGCAAGCTTAGAAGGAATAATCTAGGAAATAAAGCAGTTCTAGGCAAAAAGCAATCTCATGCTGCAGTGTAGGACATGGCTGAACTGCCTCACATGCAGGTTCACACTATGAGAACGTACAGCAGTACTCCAAGGTGGAAACATGACAAAAACTTCCAGAAGCAATATCAAACAATCTTTCTGTCTCCAGCTGCTTTTTTCCCCTCCCTTCTCTTTTATTAGTACATGGAAAAATAAAAAGAGCTTTTGACAGTTTTTATTATCTGTTACAGACTTTTGAAAGGCATGCCTAACAGTATTTTACAAAATATATTCTTTGAACTTAAGGTGACTCTGCAGTTTCCGCAGCTAACTTTTTGAGTGTATGGGATATATTACTAAGCAGCCTTGCACGATCATATTTTTTCTATTGTGCACACAACAAAAGAAGTAAACTGTACCGACTATAATACCCTGTGTTTTGAGACAAAGGCTGGATTGGCTCATACACTCCAGTCTCTAGCAGTGGCAAATGCCTAATGATACAGAAGACAGTGAAAACACAGTCGTAGCTATACAACAGGATTTGTAACTTAGGAGACATAACAACAAAATACACTGTTGACTTTTTGGTTTTT